AGCAAGCCACCAGGTCCGGGACTTGAACCGTGGTTGACCATGTGGTAGTGTCCAGCGCCTTAACCACCTCACCACCTACTGGTCCCCAGCCAATATGTTTTTGTAGCCAGAACAATGAGGTTAGGATATAGCTTTTTTTTTTTTTTTTGAGGGGTTTTTGCTGTAGGGCATGTGCGCTTACTAGAAAGACAGAGAGAGAAATCACCCCCAGGGGGGATGGCCACACCACAATGCCTTGTCCATTCTCCTCTCAGGATCTTGGGCATGCATGCCCACGTGCCCAAAGTGAGTTTGGGGAGAAGTGAGTTTGTGGTAGAGGGAATTTTTCATCATTCCATTTTTTATTGTATGATTAGAAGTTAATTTCTCATCCTCTTTCAGATCATAACATTTTCCTCTTGCCTTAACATATCTTTTAAGAATGTTTCAATTTTCTGGAACCAGCAGATGGCATGATGGTTATATCACTGGACTCCCATGTAGTCAACTGCAGTTCAAGTCCTGGACCTGACAGCCTAAAACTCATGCCCGGTACACGTACGTGCGTGCCCCAAATCCCAAGAAACGAATGGAGAAGGGATTGTGGCATGGCCATCACTTTCTATCTCTCTATCTCTGTCTCTCCAGCCAGTACACATGCCTTATAGCAAAAATTTCCTTTAAAAAAATGTTTCAATTTTAACATAGATTACCTTATATCATTATATCGAACAGCCTTGACTGCCCCACCTTTTTACCTACAGAATGCAAAGCAATTTAATTTACAAGCATCTCAACTGTTAGAGCCTTATTCACCATAGTCCTGGCTTGAAAGAAATTTATTTATTTTTTTGTTAGTTTGTATAGGGTGTGTGCACTTGCCAGAGAGACAGAGGAAGTGAGAAAGCACCCCCCGGGAGGATAACCATGCTGCAATCCCTTCTCCCCATTCTCCTCTTAGGATTTGGGTACACACACATGCACACGCTTGATTTCTCAAGCCACCAAGTCTGGTAATGGAACCCTGTCGTCAGCCATGTGGCATCTAGCCACCTTCACCACCACACCACTGACTGGTGGAAGAATATCGATCTTTTGTTCCCTGTGAGGTTGTCTTTTCTTTGGGTGTGATAGAATAGTGAGTGACTATGAGTTTTCTCAATCACCTCCAAATGTAGTATATTAGAAAATCCTTTTGGTTCAAATTATGTTTAGTATCCTACCATATCTCACCATCTCCACTATCATCCTGTCCCAAGCCACCACATCTCATGGATATTTGCAGTGACTTTCTAAGTGCTTTTCCCCCATCTGATCTCTTATTTATTTATTATTTTTGGAGAGATTTTCACTATAGGGTGTGCACGCTCGCCAGACAGAGAGACAGAAAGCGAGAAATCACCCCCCAGGGGGGATGGCCACGCCGTAATCCCTTCTCCTCCATTCTCCTCTCGGGATCTTGGGCACGCACGCACACGCGCCCAGCGTGAGTTTTAAGCCACCGGGTCCGGGACGCGAACTGCGGTCCACTACGTGGGAGTTGAGCAACATAGCCATTACGCTAACTGCTGGTTCCCGATCTCTTCCTTCTTAATTTGCCACAAAGAAGGCTTTTTTTTTTTTTTTCTATAGCGAAAAACCTCTCCAAAAAAAAATAAGAGAGAGACTTTTGCTATAGGGCATGTGTGCTCACGAGAGAGAGAGAAAGAGAGAGAGAGAAAGAGAAATCACTCCTGGGCGGGGGAGGGGAGTAGCCACACCTCAATTCCTTCTCCTCCATTCTTCCATTCTCCTCTTGTGATCTTGGGCATGCATGTACATGCGCCTGGTGTTGAGGTTTAAGCCGCCGGATTTGGGACTTGAACTACAGTCAACTATGTGGGAGTCCAGCGACTTAACCATTACACCATCTCTTGGTCCCCAGACTAAACTTTTTTTTTTTTTTGAGGTTTTTTTTTTTGTTGTTACCAGGGCCAT